CTATACAGCATAGTCCCTCTAGCTAACAATACTGTAGTGTATGTTTAATATTTGCTAAGAGGGTAGATCTTATGTTAAGTGTTCTTACAATAATAATAATAAGGGCAGGAGGAAACTTTGTAGGTGATGGATATGACTATGGCCTTGACAGTTTCACAGATGTATACTTATCTTCAAACGCATTGAGTTGTATACATTAAATATGTGCAGCTTTTTACAGGTCAATCATACCTCAATAAAGTGGCTTGAAAAAATAATTGTGCTAATTTACACTCTCATAGAAAGTGCAGAAGAGTTCCAGTTGTTTTTCATCCACCTCACTACTAGGTATTTTCTTTCTTTTTCAGTGTAGCCATTCTGATGTGTGTGGCAGTCTCTTTGATGAACTCTTCTTATGTTTACTGATCTTTAGAATATTCTCTCTAGTGAAGTGGCTTATCACATTTTCTGTCCCTTTTTCTTTTGAGATGTATTCTTCTTATTGATTTTTTAGAAGTTTTAAAATATATTGTGGATATAAATCCCATATCAGATATATAGACTGAAAATATCTTCTCCCTGTGGGTTGATTTTTGACTCTCTCAATGTTGCTATTTCATGAAAAATGTTCTTGATTTTAATATATTACCACTTATAATACTTTTATTTTATGGTCAATGCTTCTGTGTCCTGTTAAGAATATCTTTGTCTACTCCAAGGTCAAGAGGTAGTCTCCTCTGTTCCCTCTAAAAACTTTATTTTAATTCACATTTAGGGTTTTAAACTATCTGGAATTGATTTGGGGCAGCAGCATTGCACTGCAGTGACACCTCTGGCATAAATCAGGTGACCATATATGTATGCATCTATTACTGGACTCTACTCTGTTCCATTGGTCAGTTTGTCTCTCCTTGCATCAGTATCACACTGTCTTAAACACTGTACCACTACAATAGACCTTTATACATGGCAGCAAATGTTCTCCAGCTTTATTATTATTCTTAAGATTCCTTGGTTATTTTTGGCCCTTTGTGTTTTCATATGACTTTTAGACTCATCTAATTAATTTCCCCCAAAAATTTCTGTGATTTTTAATCAGTAATTGCATTACATACATTTGGGGAAAATTTTATATCTTTACAATATTGAGCCTTCTAGTCCCTGAATGTTATATTCTTCCCTATTTAGGGCTTCTTTGATTTCTTAGAGAAATTTTGTGTTTTTTAGTGTAGTGGGCTTGTTCATTTTGTTAGATTCATACTTAAGTATTTCCCATATTTTAACATAAATGGTATGATTTGTTTTCATTTTTTATTTCTTTATTGAAGGTATATAGAAATATAATTGCCTTTTATTTATTGATCTATACACAGCAACATTGCTTAATTCACTAATTAATTCTAAGTTTATGCAGATTGTGTACCTAGAAAACCCAAAGCAAGTAATAACAGTTTTAGTCCTCCCTTTCTAACTTGTATGTCTTTTAGTTATTTTTATCCCCTTATTTCAACGGCTAGGACCTCCAGTACAACCTTGAGTAGAGGTTGCAGAAATTAATAAAAGAAATCTTAACTAAATTGGAGTCATAATGGCCTGTAGGGGGAGCTCTCATGCCCTATCACACATGGTCAATTATACCAAACAGGAAGAGAGAAGTGCCCTTGCATCTTCAACAGGAAGTACAACTACTTTACCACTGAAGGAAGATTTCTCTCCCCACCCAGCAACTGCCCAGCCAAGAGAAATGCTGCAGCTCTGCCAATGAGAAGCTGTTGCTGCCCTAAAGTGTTTCTTTCCCCCAATGGACTTCCATCTAGAATAGCCCCTCCCTATTCACACTTTTTCTCTGTAAAAGCAGCTCCCCTCCTTTGTTTGCTGGAAGTTGCCTTCTAGTTGTATTTTGCTAAGAGTTTTTATCATGAATGAGTCTCCCATTTTGTCAAATGCTCTTTATTTATTTTTTTACGTATCAAGAAGACTGTATAATTTTTATCTTTTTCTTTGTTAATGTGGTAAAAAATGTATTGAATGTTAAAAATACATTTCGTTCCTGGAATAAACCTCACTTGTTCATGATGTAATATCTTTTTATATATCACTGGATTTGATTGGCTAATATTTTGTTAAAGATTTTTGCATCCGTGATTATGATAGTTTGGTCTATATTGTTTCCTGTAACATCCTCATGAGATTTTGGAATCAAGTTTATTCTAGACTCACAAAAAAAGTTAGCAAGTGTTCCCTTTTTATATTTTCTGGAGCAGTTTTTGCAAGATTGATGCAATTTCCTCTGTAGTGTTTGGGCATAGGGTTTTCATTTTTTTAAAATGTTATTTGCTTTATTTATTTATTTATTTATTTATTTATTTTTTGTGAGGAAGATCAGCCCTGAGCTAACATCCATGCTAATCCTCCTCTTTTTTTGCTGAGGAAGACCGGCTCTGAGCTAACATCTATTGCCAATCCTCCTCCTTTTTTTCCCCAAAGCCCCAGTAGATAGTTGTATGTCATAGTTGCACATCCTTCTAGTTGCTGTACGTGGGACACGGCCTCAGCATGGCCGGAGAAGCGGTGCATCGGTGCGTGCCCGGGATCCGAACCCAGGCCGCCAGTAGCGGAGCACGCGCACTTAACTGCTAAGCCATGGGGCCAGCCCTAGGGTTTTCTTTATGATAAATTTTTAAATAGACTACTCTTATTTTCTATTTCTTCTACCAAATTTGTAAGGCTTTTTTTGAGTGAATTTGTCTGTTTCACCAGATTGTCCAATTTGCCACCTTAACATTTTTCATAATGTCTTATGTTTTTAATGTCTGTGCAATATGTATTGATGCCTTTTTAATTCCTGATAGTGTTAATTTGTGTTCTCTCTCTTTTTGTCTTAAACTAGTCAATTTCATAAATAGCAAGATTTTGACTTGGTTTTTCTCTATTGTACATTTGTTTCTATTTCACTAATTTCTGCTCTTTATTATTTCTTTTCTT